CAAGGCCTCCATGCAACGTACAATGTGATAGCTTTCTGAAAGCCAAGCTGTTTCTGGAACATGTGCCTATTCCAAAATTTCCTTAAGTATGATGAAAGGAGATTGTCAATCAACTGCCTCCTGAACATTCCAGAAGGAACAAGAGAACTGCAGTAAGGTAACACCCAATACTGATCCTTCTTCAGATTGCCAGCCTCTTACCTCATATTCCATGGCCACCATACTGCATAAAGAGAAAAAACTCAGGGTAGTCAATTTATTTTTTTTTCTATTACTTACGTATAGAAGAATCTCAGGTTATTCTTTCTTCCAGTCCCTTACTTTCTAAGTAGTATACACACATCTCTTGGTTTGCAAAATGTATGGAAATTGACACACTAACTCAAGGAAATCCAAGGTGCTGAGAAAAGCTGTAAGGCCTCATGAACAAGAGCTAACGTAAACCCACCATGAGTCACTGCCAAATGCTCACTGAGAACACTGGACAGAGAGTGAAGGAGGATGAGTACACTGGAGAGCCAGAACTAGAGTGGGTGGTAGAGAACTTGCCTACCATAGGAAAGCCTTGGGTTCTCACCCCAGCCCTGCAAGTGAGAATAGGGGCAGACAAAGTAAAATAATCAACTAATGGCCAAAGCACTTTCCAGTTCGCATGTCTTGAGATTTCAAATGAAGATGTGTTAGTGTAAGCCCTGATCAGAGGTATCTGGGAGCTGGGAACATGGCTCAGGCAGACCCCTTGTCTGGTATCTGTGGTGCCCTAAAGTCTAGTTCCTAGCACTGTTAAAAAGAAAGGTATTAGGAAGTACTGTGAAGAGTTGCTGATTGTCTAGCTGTCCAATAAGCATGCAATGTGATCTTAGCTTCCCTGAGCACACAAATATATGGCCCTTTCTTTGAGTCTCAGCCAAGGCTGAGTACAAACCAGTTAAAGAGAAAGCAGGAAAAGAGCCCCCAATCCCTCAAACACCGTCCTTCCTCCCATCTCACTGTAAGCACCTTTGGTCCCCTAGATCCCTCTGGACTAACCCTACTCCTGGCAACTCACCACCATCCACAGTGGTGTAAGAACAGCCAGTGTTTACAAGTTAGAAGTCATTTCCTTCACAGACTCAATAAACTTGAACTCTAGGGCCCATGAACTTTGAGCATCCATGGACTCAGCCCTACCAGCAGGAGGTGTATCTGGAACCATGCTCTGACATCCTCCTCAAGTCTGGTGTGGGCACCAGACCCTGGCAGTAGCTCAGTTCACACTCTGCACTTACAGCAATGGTGACCTTTTATTCTAAACTATGAGAGCACTTGTCCTTGGATGTCTGTATCCCAGGGCTTTGGGGGTACAGGGCTTAAAGAACTTGCCAACTTGGCCTTGGAACTCCTGTGACCCATCAGAGGGCAGCTCAGCCCCACACTTCCTGCTGAAAGGCCCTTTTTGGCTTTGGACTAGGCATTACTTTTTTTTTCTGTTATGAAGAATTTTTAATTAAGATGTTTTATTTTGTATGCTATGCTTTTAAAGTCATAACTGCCTTTTGTATTACCCACTGTATCTGTACAAAATGCAGAGATCTAACACTGGCAAAGTAAACTGCATTGTGTTTGCCATACCTGTTTTAATAAACTTAAACTTCACAGCTAAGCGTCCTGTTTGGGCTGGGGAGATGACTCAGTGACTAAGGGCACTTGCTGCCAAGCTTGAAAACTTGGGTTCAATCCTTGGGACCCGTGGTAGAAGGAAAGAACTGTTTTCTCCAAGCACTTGCATGTCTGTGCACAAGTACATGCACACACAGAGTTTCTTTCATTAAAAAAATTAATGGATTTAATTTTTTTTAATCCTTTTGAGGATTTAAATCCTTTTGAGGGCAGAGTTTACATTTATGACAGACAAGCTTTTAGAAATGGTTTTGGTTTTCTGTGGAAATGTTCCTGCTGTATTATCCAGAAGGGTTCGGAACAACCTACACTCTAGATGAGCACATGGGGTGATACGTTTTCTTCCTCTGAACAAAGAGACAGCAGGACTCTTGTTTATGCTAGAGACTGCAATACTCAGAGTCTTCTGCCAGAAGGAGCCTCAGTGAAAATATCGACCAGCAAATGAAGATAGCTGACTTCAGTGAATCGGGCTGTGGATAAGAAGACTCCTTAGGAATAGGAAATACAGGCAGGGAAGTGAAGCACTCATTCAAATTCCATGCCTTTCCTAAACCATTGTAAGATTTGCTGTTTGTTAACTGACGTAGTCATGAGCTCTTTCATCTAACAGAAAGTTCTAATGACAAACAGTCACCACGAAGAAAGCAGTGGTTCAGAGGGCTCAGCCAGGATACACAGTGACCCAAGTGTGGGTGCCCCAAGTGTACCAGGTATGAGCAGGAACATCTCTCATGTGGTGGTGTTGTGGAATTTCCTGGAGAGATGTGAGCAAACATCTATTCACCCCAACAATAAATTGACCACAGAAATGACTCCAACCTTAGGTACAGGCCACAGGTGACTCAAAGGCTGAAATGCTCAAGCCTGCTTGGGTAGCAAGTTACCAAAGTTGCACCCTGGGGCTCCCTGACCAATTTATAGCTCCACAAGTCTTTCCTCCCCCAGCAATTGCTTACTGCCTATATAACCTAGGAGACAGTCAATAAGTCTTGGGAATTCTGGGTTTTCATACCTAGTAAGTTTCTCCTGGGTCTCACTCTGCCTCTCAGGAGCCAGTGTTTCAGTTAGGAGCAAATATCTCTACAGCAGATGGATAGTGTTGAATGTCAGGCTGCAGAACCAACTGAAGAGGTGATGGCTGGCCCCAGGAGAAAGCCAGAAGCTCTGAGCTGAATACCAAGTAAGTAGTGACCAGCATCTATACTGCATTCTGCACTTTTCTGCTTTGAGTTTGCTACATAAACCTTGGCACAAGCATTCAGAATCCCTTAAGGCACCCCACGCTTGGGCTCTTCCTGCTGTGCTTCCCTTCCCACACAGTATATCAGTATCAGTGTTCCTTTCAATCAACACCTCATCTATAACTTCCTCAGCATCCACAACCTCTGCCCCATCTCCATTGGTATGAATGGCTTCCCAAACACCAAACCCTGACCACTCTCCAACAAAGCCAGGCCAGCCTACCTGAGTATGCGTGTTGCCTCTCCTGTCCACAGGCTCGATGACAAATGGCCAGCCATGTGGTCTCTTTAAACTGCAGTTTCTTCCTCTGCAAAATGCTTTGCCGATCTGTAAAGCAACACAGGGCAAATAAGCAATAGCACAGTGGCTGGCGCACAGTGAGCTCTGGAAAAACTCGGCTGGAAACCTGCAGGCTTTCAAGTCCCGTCAGCTGTGTTACAGGAAGCCTTTCCCAAACCACAAGCTCTAGTTTGGTCTAATCTACTCTTTTATACTTTCCTCTTGAAATGTATATACACAACGTAGCTATACACTTCTCTAAATTCTCCTAGGACTGTAAGCCAACTGCTACCTCAACCTTAGCTGGCGCACACACTCACCACACTCACACACTCACCTGCACACTCCCCACACTCATCGAGCTCACATCTTGGGACATTTATACCTTTGTTCCCTCTGCCTGCCATATTCATATTCATATTCTTTCTTCTTTGTCCTTTGCCTGGATGATGATGAATTCTAGTCATTTTCATCCATTACCTCACTCATCCCCTTCCTCCCCTACTGAAACCACCCATCCCAACAAGGGTCCTCCTACTTCCCTTTGTCTTTCATGTGTGTGTGTGTGTGTGTGCACGCGCGCGCATGCGTGCACGCGCGCACACGTCCCACTGAGTTTAGTTAGAGCTGCTTGCATGAGCATGGGTGGGAGGTTACTTACTGCAACACAGGTAACAGTAGTGACACCACCAAAGAAAGTGACAACCCACCCCACAGTAACCAGTAAGTCCTTCAGGATGCTGCGACAACTTTCAGGTCTCCCAAGCTCCCAAGTCTCACACAGGCATGCCCGACTCCAGTTCAGAGTCCTCTTCCCATATGTATTTATGATTTTCCCTCGAAGCAGCACACCACAGTTGTACATACTCTCCCATCTTCTTGTTCTGGACTCAATGCCAGCGTTTACCCGAACTCAGAAGGAAGAGAGCCCTGAGGAACTACTACTGGGAGCCCAGTAGGTCTACGAAATAAAATATCAACCACCTATTTCTAATACCAATGAAGGTACCTTAGATACACTTAAGTTTACCAGATCATAGAAAAGTAGAGGTTGTGAACCCCAGTCCTTCCGGCTGGTACCTGCTTGCCTAGGCTCGTTTGTCTTAAGGGAAAAGCAAACAAACAAAAGCCTACAATCTAGAGCTGCAGAGCTGGTTCAGCACTTGGCAAATGCCTGCTGCTGTTTCAGAGGGCCCAAGTTCAACTCCCGGTAGCCATGTCAGGAGGCTCACAGGCTCCTCTAACTCCTGGTTCCAGAAGAAATCTAACTCTACTGGTCTCGTCGGGCACCTGCACTCATTACACAGACATACAAGAATAAAAATAAGATAAATACTGAAGAATCTATGCTGCAAAGGTGTCTCACGTTTAGAGAGAAGGCTTTCTGCTCCGCAAGCGCGTGCCCATACGCAATTGTGCCGATGTGCGGACTCGAACCTGGCCTCAGAGCTACAGAACCTGCAGTAGTGGAACCGCGTGGCCCCACGGCTAGGGGGTGTGTGTGCGAGGGATGCCACTGCTGGCTAATCTTTTCAGAGCCGGGCCGAGGCTGCCTGAGAGGGCTGGAGGCGCCAGGTAAGGCACAGAGCGGGGCTCGCATTTCCAAAACCCGAACGCCGACCCACCTACCGGAGAAGGGACGCCGGCGTCTCAGAGAGTCGCGCGGGAAGAAGCCGGCGCTCGACGCCCAGCACTGCGGTGACAGCGGCCCCTGGTGGCGGCGACATCAGCTGAGGCGGAGGGACGCGCCGGCCAAGGCTAACGGCTCGGCGCGGGCGCTCCGGAAGTGACGTCCTCAACGCGTCGCGGCTCTAACCATGGCTCACACGGCCGCAGAATGGCCGCCAGAGGAAACCCTGTCGCTCTGGAAAGGGTAATGGGGTCCGGGATGAGCATTAGCCAAGGGGATGGGCTTCACCAGTGACCTTCCGTACTCACAGCCACTATGGCGGCTGGGAAACTGAACCTCGGTGCTGTAACACAGGCCGACCCGGGCCGCCAGCTGCCGGAAGTTGCTGCCTGCCTTTGTGGGCGTGGTCCTCGTTTCCGGTACCGGGGATCCGGTCGCCTAGCGCTTTTCTTTCTCATTGTGGCTTGACGGGCAAAAGGAGAGAGGGATGGCTAGGAGGGAGGACGCCCGGAGGGTCGCGCTCTCCCCATGAGACCTGAGCCCGTTTGATGTTCGTGTCCTATTAGGGAACAAGCCCGGCTGAAGGCCCGCGTGGTGGATCGGGACACGGAGGCCTGGCAGCGGGACCCCAGCTTCTCGGGCCTGCAGAAGGTCGGAGGTGTGGACGTGTCCTTCGTGAAAGGGGACAGTGTCCGGGCTTGCGCTTCCCTGGTAGTGCTGAGCTACCCAGAGCTCAAGGTAACCCGGGTGGGATGTTGAGCCCCATGCAGTTCGATCGTAGGCAGAGCCAGGGTACAGTTTCGTAAAATTTACTTTTTAAAAATTCTCCCCCCACACCGTGTTTTTTATAATTTTTTCTTTTTCTTTTTTCTTTTTTCTTTTTTTTTTTAATGCTAGGAAGCCGACTCAGGCCCTCGAACATGTTAGGCAAGGGATTGATACACATCCACTTCATTTGTAGAATTTAATGTATAGGTTGGAATGTCTTTGAAGGAAATTTTTTTAAAGCAAAAAGCTGAGGAAATGTGGGCACCAGCATGCATGTGGTGTACATGAACTCCAACGAGTCTACATATCTCTACACAAATGGTTAATTAAAAGTAGTTTCTAAAGGATCAGCAGACAATTCCAGGTCTGGTTGCTGTGTTTCTGATCAGATGGGAGGGTAGCTTGGGACTTGGAAGCCCAGGAACCTTAAAGTTCTGAGGGAAAAAAGTATCCCAATGGAAAGGCATCCGGAGACACAGGGACCCAGGAACCACATAGCTCTGAGGTGGGACAGTGTCCCAATGGAAGGGCAGCCTGAGACACGGGAGCCCAGGAACCACACAGCTCTGAGAGGAGGCCTCAGAGGCCTTGCAGCTTCCAGGGGAGGGTCAACTGCTGTCATAAGGAGCTGTCCATGGTGGTGACATGGTGGAGCTAAGTTGAGGAGCTCAGGAGCCTCAGCCCCATTCCTTCTCTGCTTCTCTCCCTTGTTTCTTTTCTTCTTGGCTTCCTCTGACAGGAGAGTTACACCAGGTAGGAAGTCTCAGGAAAGGGATTTATTGGAGGGAGGAATCCAGGAGGATGGAGTAATCCAGGGATGGCTGCCCTCTGCTCTCAGGAGCAGACAGCAGGAAACTGAACAAAGGGGCAGTGCTTTTATAGGATTTATGAGGGGACAGAGCTTCTCAGGGCAGAAATTTCCAGAGTGATGATTTGTAGGATCTCAAGTCCTGAGGTTGGGGAGGGCTCAGGGATTAGTGGGTTTTCCTGTTCAGGATTTGGTGGGTTTTTTTCACTCCCTTTTCCCTGTATTAGGACTCATGGGTGGGAAGTCCTTCCTGGTGGCAGCCAGCTTTTGTTGGGGCACCATCTCTGAGGCTACTGGGGAGGCTGGAGAGGAGGTGCTACCACTGTGGACAACTCTGGTAGTGGTGTTTCATCAAGGCTGTAGGCTGAGGCATGAAAGAAGGTGTCACCACCATGGACAGCTCCTTATGACAGCAGTAGGCTGAGGCAGGAAAGGTGTGCCACCGTTGACAGTCCCTGTGATGGCTGTGGGCTGAGGAGATGTCATGATGCCTCCATTTTGACAGGAGCCACCATTTTGGACAGCTCCTGTGGGAAATTTTATAGCTGCAGCAGTAGCCTGGGTCAGGAAGGAAGGGCCTTGCGCTGTCTTGATGGCTTTTTGTGGTGCACCTCTCAGGGACTACGATTGTCATCTTGGGTTGCTTACCTCAGTGGCACACAGCACACACCACAGGTTTCACAAGCAGAAAGTCTCTGCTTTCTCAGACCCCTTGCTTTTCATCTTGTCGCACACAAGTTTTTAAAGTTATTTTTAATCTTTTGAGTTAAAATAATTAAAATGTTTTTCAGTCAGACATGGTTACACACACCTTAATCCCAGCAATTGGAAGGCAGAGACAGGTGGATCTCTGAGAGTTCAAAGCCAGCCTGGTCTACAAAGTGAGTTCCAAGACAGACAGGACTACACAGAGAAATTCTGTCTTGAAAAACCAAAATATATATAAATTTTTTTCCATATGTGTTTATTATTATACTTGTTCATATTCTCCTCATTCAGTACTCCCCAGTCTTCCTCCTGATCCCATGTCTCCCTCTTCAGGGCTTCCCCTCTGCCCTTTGCATGTGCCACAGTCACCCCTTCCATAGACTACTTACCTGTTTCTTCACAGGCCCCCGCCTCAAGGGTTGTTCTTTGTCTCCAGGGATAAGAGCGAAGTTTTTGTACAAAGTAGTCATGATCCAATCACAGGCCCTCTTAAAACTTCCTGCTTGGCATGACGGCACACACCCCTGTAATCGTGGCACTTGAAAGCTACGGCAGGAGGTGCACAGCTAAATCTCAGCCTGGGCTACATGAGACTCTGTCTTAAAACAACAGCAAAAAGACCTCAATGTCCTCCCGTGATCTTTGGTTAATAAAGTTCATACTTGTTAATGTGACTTAGAGGCCGGCCTCTTGGGCTTTGTTGTGTGCTTAGGACAAGCCTGACAGCTCACCTTCCGCCACTGCCTTCAGCACTTCCTAAACACTATTCTTCAGAGCTTTAAATCCTTCATATGGTTCTGGCGCCCTTTCTTTGTAGGCATGCCTTCTCCCCTAGAGTGGTCCTCACCTGTCTGGCTCCCACTTCCTATAGAGCCCAGGCTAGACATTGCTTAGTCTAGTGAGCCTCCTCCATCCCACAAACCAGGGCTGTCTCTCAGCACCCTTTCCCAGCCTCCGGTCGGGTAGAGCCGACTGCCTCCGGCTGGGCCACTTGTACATGAAAAACTGGAAGGTCCAAGATGAGGTAGTAAGATGAGACTGTGAGGTTCTGAGAGTTTCAGATACAGTCAAGCCCTTCTCGGTTCTACTGTTGTGGGGTAGTCACCAGAGAAGACTGCTCGGACAGGGGTTTAAGCCATTAGAAAGTATTAGCTGGCTGGCCTCTACACTGGATGTTTGGGATCCCAGTGTAGCACTGAGCCTTTCTCAGCATGAGAAAGCACGGCTTTGTTTAAAGCACAAAAGCGGTATTCTGGGTTGATATACTTCAGTTAACAAGAACAGTCAGAAGTGGAGCTACAGAAGTTAAAAAGCAAGGTTAGTTCACTTTGAAACTTTCCCAAAACTATATGAACACTGATGGATTAGGCCTTTGTTTTAGTTTTTGCATCTTGCGCTGTCTACATGCTGAGTTTTATAGCCTAAATGGCGTTGTCTTCATGGAGTCAGCTGTGCTAAGGTCTGGGGGCCTGTTAAACTTCCTGTGTCCTCTCATGTGATTTAGTCACCTCACAAGTGCTACTCAGTTCTTAATACCATCACCTCGTTTGTTAAAATGTCGGCATATGGATTTAAAGACCATAGCAACCCCGACCCTCTCCTTTGTCATACCAAAATGAGCTTAGCCCGTCTCTCTCTCCAGAGTGTAAATCCTGATGGCAGGAGTCACGACTTGCCCTTGTATATGTGAGACACTGAGATCCTCTCTAAATTGATAATGTGCACGCATGAGCAGTCCGCCTGTGGTTTCTCTACAGTCAGCTGCTCAGCGAGCCTTGGCCACACATCAGCTTTAGTGCTTCCCATCACCAGTATCCCCAAGTGAGGTGGCCTGGACGGTATAAGAGAGTCAGCTCAGTGAGTAGTGTTGCTCCATGGTTTCACCTCAGTTCCTGCTTGAGTTCCCAATGACAGTGGTGGACTGTGACTTGAAGGTGTGTAAGTTGACATGAATGAAGCCTTTCCTCCCCAAGTTGCTTCCAGTCTGAGTGTTTTATCACAGCAACAGAAAGGTAACTAGAATAGGATGACATTAATGCCAACTGTTAAGAGTCGTATAGGAAGGGTTTGTGGTGGCGCACACCTTAATCCCAGCACTCGGGAGGCAGAGGCAGGCAGATCTCTGAGTTCGAGGACAGCCTTGTCTACAGAGTGAGTTCCAGGACAACTACTGCTACATAGAGAGAAGTCTTGTCTTTTAAAAAACAACAACAACAAAAAAAAACCCAAACAGTTGTGTAGGAAGTAACTGGTACAGAATGCCATCTTCCAGCATTTCCCCTGTGCAATCTCAAACTCCCTGGCTTGTGGAGCCCTATTTAGTTTAGTGTCCCTGCTGTCATAACATTTCCCTCCCATGTGAACCTCCTGAGCAGCGATCCATCTTCCCCCCTGACTGAGGGCTCTTGAGAGCAGTGCTATGCCACAGTTGCGTTGTAGCCTGGCACCGAGCAGAGCAGCTGTGCCTGCTCATTCAGTTAGCATTTGCTTCTCTCAGTCTTTAAGTCAGGAAAGAGTTTTGGAAGAGTGTGACCCATTGGTTCCCAGTTGCCTGACTATGGCTCACCTGGGAGTGTGTTTAGAGACACAGATTGCATAGGCAGGCTCCTAAAGGATGTCGATCAGGGGTTACTAAAGCACATTAGTTACTTACGCGTGACCGAAGCCACATAAGGATTGATTTTGCTCATGGTTTGAGGGTGTGACAGGGAAGGTGTGGCTGCAGGCATGTAAGGCTGCTTGCATGCTCACATCCCAGCCAACCAGAAAGCAGAGAAAACGGAATGCTAGTGATTAGCGCTCACTCCTTTTATTCTATGGGACCCCCGCCCACGGAATGGTGCCGCCCGCATTCAGGGTGGAGCTTTCCTCTTGAGTTCTGAAAATGTTCTCACAGACATATCCAGAGGTGTGTCTTAAGTGATTTTTAAAAATTATTTTATGTGTATTTTGTCTACATGTATGTCTGTGCATTGTGTACATGCCTGATGTCCATGAAGACCAGAAGAGGATGTTTGATTTCCTGGAACAAGAATTATAGACAGTTGTCAGCCTCCACGTGGGTACTGGGAATCGAAGCCAGGTCCTGTGGAAGAGCAGCCAGTGCTCTTAACCATCATCTCTCCAGCCCCTCTTAAGAAACCAGAGTCACCACACTAAAGCTGAGCATGGTTTTGAGAGGGCGTGACTGGTGTCTAGGACTAGGCTAATTTGTGGGATGGAAGAGTTGTTCTAAAATTAGATTTAGGGGCCTAGAGAGAGTGCTCAGTTGTAAAGAACACTTGCCGGGTTCAGTGCTCAGCACCACATGGCATCTCACAACCTTCTGCAATTCTGGGGAACCCATGGCTCTGTTCTGGCCTCCATGGCCACCACACATGGTGTGCTTACAGGCATGCAGACAAAACACTCATACAACAAACAAAATGTGTAAAGTTAGATTATAATGCTGTGGAAACACCAGAGCTCACTGAGTTACACACTCCTGAGGTTTTAAAATATAAAGCTGTTAAATACCATTCCAGAGCCACAGCCCATTTACGGGGGAAACCCATCTCCCACAGCAGGTTCCCCATAAGCTAACCCTGCTTGGAGAATTAATGGTTCACCTTCAGATGGTCAGGAATTCTTTCCTCGGCGTCCTTGACAGATGGCAGCCTTATGGGCTAGCTCCTCCCATAGCTGGCCATCTGTACCCAGTGTGTCCTTTTCCGTGTGAAGAAGAGACTTCTCTGTCTGAAGTTTCCTCATGAGTGCTGTCCTGACAGCAACACCTAGAAGGAAGGAGTCTTTCCCTGCCCTCCTACTGTTGCTGCTTCCTGTTTGCTTGCTCCTGAAGGCCACAGTAACTTGCGCTGCCTCAGTTGCTGGAGGCCCCTAGTGATGCTGTCAGCAGGACCCATCCCTGCACCTCACACCTGACATGCCTACATAACTAGATGCAGTCATCCAGCAGTTACAGGTCCCCCAGTGCAACAAGGTTCACATGAGTCCCTGAATCTCATGTCCATGCACATCTGTGTAAGTTGAGCTTGAGACACTGTAATCATATTTTGGCATTACAGTATGATAGCAAACCTCCCCCTTTCCCTTCACACTCTGCAAACTCTCCCGTTTACCTCCTCACTGCTCCTGTAGAATGTTACCTGCACGTGTGTGATTTCAGGGTTGACCATTGGTTAATCAAAGAGGTGCTCTTCCCCAGAGCAGACAATCTCCTGCTCCCGGCATTCCTCAGTGGCCCGTAGTTCTTTGTCTAGGGCTGAGGTCTTCTGACCTCTCCCCTGTCCCTGTCGGCATGTTTGTCGGTGTCATCCACATGCAGGTCATTTAGGCAGCCGTGTGGACTCACGGCTGCAGCTTCTGACATTCCGAGGAGACACAGTCTCACAGCAAACACATTCCTCTGGCTCTTACAGGCATACCACCCGCCATTCTCAGTGGTTCACGAGCCTTAGGGGCGGGAGCTGTTGTGGGTGTGTCTCTGTTGGGCCTGGGGTCTACAGCACTGCATTTGGATCAGTTGTACTTGTCTGTAGTGGTCTCCATCCTTTGCTGACAGATTCTGAGTGAACACCTCATTTTGAGTCATTGCAGCTTTGAGAACTTTATTCCTGACTCACTGGTGAAAGTGTTAAGAGGCCAAGCCCCAGCACCCAGTAGCCCTTTCTCTAGGCGCACTTAGATACAGATCCAGCCCCAGGGCCCCTTGGGAATTATGGTCTGGAAGCTCTCATCAAGAGCCTGGGTGTGGGAGGCTTCTAGAGAACATGGACACAGTAGGAGTAGGTCTGTACAAGAGGCCAGCGAGGCTGGTAGAGGCCCACAGCCACTACTCTGTGCTGTGTGCTGAGCCGTACCCTAAGCCCCAGAGTGATCAGTTGGAAAGCTGGCCATCTTCACATGATAAGGTACTTTTAGTTTGAAAACTAGTCTTTTTGCCAGGAAGACCCTGGGTTGTCCCCAGCTCCTCCTGAAAGCCATCTGGTCCCCTACTTCCTCCACACCTCCTCACAGAATGCACAGGGCCTACTGTCCTGATCTCTCATGGGTTTCTCCATTCTTTGGGGCTCTGTTCTTGCAGTTTGCCTGGCTCCGAAGGCATTCTTGCCCATCTCCAAACTGTTCTGAAGATTTCAGAACCCTGTCCTACTTGCCTGGCCTTTCCCCCATGGTTCTTCTGAGGCATATTCAGTACTGCCAGGTTCATAGCATACTCATCCGGGGTCTTCTACTCTGAGCCTTCAGCATCCCTGCAGGTGGTCAGCTCACATTGACAAGGAATGAGCCAGGAGTACAAGGAGCAGGTCGGCCTGAGGTTGGCCATCACCTCAGCCAGGCTCCTGAAAGAGATGAGATTCAGGGGTGATACTGCTCCTCATACACACCAGGCCCTAAGGGTATTCCCTGCACACTAGATCTTGGGAGCTCTCATCCATACCAGGTCCCATGCAAGCACCTGTAAGATGAAATTTAAGTTCATTCTCCAGCACCCACTTGTGGGTGGATCATTTTACCATGTCTTTCAAACCCTGGGCTCGTCCTGGCCACATGTGGAAGCCATGAGTGGGAGGCAGAGGAATGAAATGGAGCAGGTGGCTGCAGCTGACATCTGACCTGTACCTGTACCTTGCTGTCAGGTGGTGTATGAGGACAGCCGCATGGTTGGCCTGAAGGCCCCCTATGTGTCAGGCTTCCTGGCTTTCCGAGAGGTACCTTTCCTGGTGGAGTTGGTACAGCAGCTGCAAGAGAAGGAACCAGACCTCATGCCCCAGGTAGGTGCCTCCTGAGGTGAGGAGACCCCCTCTGCTTGTGCTTAGGGAGGGAAGGTCCCCTCAGGCCACTGCCACCCATAAAAAGAAGGGGGTAAGATTTCCAAAACACAGGACCCCTGTCGCCATCTCCCCTTCTTGCTGCTCCAGTACAGTCCAGCTGACTGACTCCCCTGTGGCTCTGTAGGTCCTTCTTGTGGATGGAAACGGGGTGCTTCACCAACGAGGTAATTCTCCTAAAAGAGTCAGATGGGTGCCGTGGGAGGGTAGAATGGTTTCCACCCAGAAGGGACCTTCCTCTCACCCCACCTCTATGTACCCACTTGCCTCCCACGGTACCCTACCCTGGTCCATCCCCAGTACCTCATCTAGGCTGACCCAATGACTAAAGAGTCACAGGACTGAGCTCAGGTTACCTCCATTCCCACACTGGCTCTGAGCTACCTGTCAGGCTCTGTCCCTGTGCATGCCAGGGCACTGTGTCCTGAGAAAGAGTACAGTGGCACACTCAAGTAGGGCATGAGGGAGCTATTGGCCTTCATAGCCATCAGGAACGAGAGGGGTCTGATTAGAAACCATGGGCCTGGAGCTAAAGGATAGGCACATGCTAATCTGGACAGCAGTTCTGGGCCAGCAGGCCACTCCTGGGTATATGTTCCCAGCCACTGCAATCCAGGTGCCCTGACAGAAAGCCCAGGCCATAGGGGACAGGTGCGGAGGCCTGAGGACAGCCGTAGATGGTTGTGAAGTGTCATGAGGGTTGTGTGCCTTAGCTCACCTGTGCTGTCAGAGGCTTCCCATACCCTTCCTGACACTGTGCTGTCAGGACAGAGTCCTCATTCACAGCACAGTCAGTTTGGCCCAGGGGTCTGTGTCTATAGATGAGAGATTGTGGTTGGTTCCCATCCCGTCCCCACCACCCTACTCTCCCCTGTTGCTACCTTTCAGGCTTCGGGGTGGCCTGCCACCTTGGCGTCCTTACAGAGCTGCCCTGCATCGGGGTAGCCAAGAAACTGCTGCAGGTGGATGGACTGGAGAACAATGCCAAGCACAAGGAGAAGGTGAGGAGGGCTTTGGAACTCCCTGTGACTGTAACCATTGTGTGCTTGTCTTAGCCCTGGGGCCCATGGCTTGGCTACCTCTTGGGGCCCCTCAGATCCAGCTGGCCTGCTGGCACACTCCTCACGTCACTGGTATCTTGCCCAGAAGCAGACCCACTTTTCCCTGGGCAGTTCAGAGCAGTGGCTCACAGCTCTCGGAAGCTTCCTGGGCACCTCCCACCGTGTTTGCCTCCCCTACTTCCTTGCCTCTGCCAGTACAGCTCGCACTCAGGTCCATACCCTCCAGTCCCTGGGGACAGGCTTTCCAGATTTCCATCTCACACTCGTCACCTTCTTCTCTCCACGGTGTTCACAGCCGGCCTGCAGTCCCTGCTTACTGTGGTGCCCGACTGTGACCCTTGCTCTACCTCCACTGCGCCATTTTCCACTCAGAATCCTTCCTGTGGACGTGCCATCCTCATCCAGGGGAAGCCATTGACATAATGTCTATCCCACGGGACAAGTTCCAAGAGACCTGACCGGCTCTTTCCTAGCTCCGAGGAGCCTGTGTAGAGAGTGAGTTATGTGTTGAGCTGGTGGAGTGGAAGGGCCCAGGTCCACATGGCAGCCTGCTGGAGCTGGTCCTCCTCCACCCAGAAGACAGGGGCTGTGAGTTATGTGTGCCAAGCCCCTAGCTGGAGAGGAAGCATTCAGGAGGTGGCAGCTTCAGCCTGGACATGGACTACTGTGCCCAGTATCACCTGTGTGCCCTCTGCCTGCCACTTTGGGCCTTGGCAAACAACAACCCTTTTTCTAAGCCCCAGTTACCAGGGAGATGGAACCTCATGACAATGACCTCAGCACAGTCACCAGCATACCAGTGTGGCCTCTGAGGTGCAGCCCTGTGTGGGGGTGGGAGGGCACCTGACCAAATGAGGCCCTTGCATTTCTGCTTAGGCCTTTAAAATGAAGTTTGCTGGGCTGGGGAGATGGCTCGAGAGTTAGAGTACATCCTGCTCTTGCAGTGGACCCAAGCTGGGCTCCCAGCACCTGCGTGGCATAGCTGACACGTGTCGCTCCAGCTCCCAGCAATCTGATGCCCTGGCTTCTCTGAGCACCTGCCCTCACATCCCCCACAGACATATACACACGCTCTGTTTTTAAAAATAATCTTCTAAAGGATCAAGCGTGCCCTCAGCTGTTTGAGAAGGGACAGTGGGTTGAGGGATAGCTCAGTCAGTAAAGTGCTTGTCTTGCGTAGAATGCTTGAGGTTGATTCCCGTTAGCCGTGTGAAAAGTGCTGAGCATGGCGGCCCATGCTTGTTATCCCAGCATCAGAAGGGCAGAAAGGCCTCTTGACGACCTCCCGGCCAATAGGAGGCTCCTTCTCAAAGACGTGAAGGATGCTCCTGAGGAGGACGTATCCAGCCGCCTGCACTTTTGCCTGGGATGTGTTTGTTTGTTGTGTTGGTAATTATTTAAAAGCGGCCTCTGGTTCATCCGACTATCTAAGCTGCAGCAGCTCTGCCTAGCCCAGCCACCATGTTTCTCGGCCTGAGGCCTCGTGCACGCTGCAGCTAGAACCAGCCTGCCAGAAACACCAGCCCTGCCACCCACTAGATGCCAGCGTGAGAGATGTCTCTGCCAATTTTCCACGCTGTCTCCACAAGGCTAGGCATTGCCCAGACCATCCCACCATCCATGCGGGCCCAGTAAGAGAATGAGACTCTAATTCTTATAGATTAATCAAAGGCTTTATATGTTTGATAATGATTAATAACAAGATGCCCATACAAAGAGAGTTGTATCCCAATTAGCTAACCTAATTATAAGTTTATAAATTGTTCCCCACGAGTGCTTTCCATACCTGTGTGGTTCTCCATCCTCCTACATCTCTGCCCTCTCTAGCTCCTCCTCTTCCTTTTTTCTATTCCTCTCGTAACTCCTCTTCTTCCTCTCCTTACTCCTCCCACCGTAGCTCCTCCTACAGTTTGTTACTTTGTGAGATGGAGGTCTCACTATGTAGTCATGTCTGGCCTCAAACTCACAGAGCTATGCCCTCTGCCTTTCTGGTGCTGGGACTACATGTGTGCACTAGCATTCCTGCGATACACGTTTTTAAAAGGTATTTTTACAGTTTTTTTTCCTCTGTTTTCCAGATTGTGCTCCTGCAGGCTGGGGGAGACACATTTCCTCTGATAGGCAACTCTGGAACTGTCCTAGGAATGGTGAGTGGCCAGAAAGCTGTGCCCTGTCCAGACGCGGGGCCTACTAGGCCATGCCACAAGGTGTAGCCCAAGGCAGCTCGTGCAGACATGCACTTTGTGCTGGCTGGACCCTGTTCCCTGTATATCCTGCGACCAAGCAAGGGATGCTGTGTCACATTCTCCTCTGGCTACCCTCACCCCATGTGCCACCTGAAGATGCCCAAGGGCAACAATCCCAGAGTCCTTGCACCCTGCGAACTCCTTCCTGCCATCCAGGACATCCTCAAAGCCTCAGTCCTGAGGCTGGTCCTGCTCCACTGGAACATTGCTTCATCCATGCTTGCCCTCCCTCCATCCGCAGGCTCTGAAGAGCCATGACCATAGCAGCAAGCCCCTCTACGTCTCTGTGGGCCACAGAATAAGCCTGGAGGTCGCTGTGCGCCTCACCCACCACTGCTGTCGGTTCCGGATCCCAGAACCTATACGCCAGGTATAGGGGTTTGGCGTGGGAGTCAAGGGAGTGGGAAGGACTGACATTGCCACCTAGTCTGTCTTAGTTTGTCTTTTATTGCTGTGAACAGACACCATGACCAAGGAAATTCTTATAAAGGCAATCATTTAATTGGGGCTGGCTTACAGGTTCAGAGGTTCGGTCCATTATCATTTTGGCAGGAAGCATGGCAGCATCCAGGCAGGCATGGAAGGCAACTGCTTCCAGGCAGTTAGGAGGAGGGTCTTAAAGCCCACACCCACAGTGACACACCTGCTCCAACAAAACCACACCTTCTAATAGTGCCACTCCCTGGGCCAAGCATATTCAAACCACCACACAGTCTCACTTGGGGTGGGTCTCTGCAGGGATCTGAAGACAGATTCCCAGGCCCTTGGGAAGAGAGCCTGAAGACAGGATCAGTGGGGCACAAACTTTGGTCAGAGGTTCTCACGGGGTCGTTCTATGCCTACATCGAGGAGGCTTGTGCTGGTGCCAAAGACACCAATTGGGACCCCAGACCATGGCTCTGCCAGACACCTATTACCTAAGCTGCTGTTTGCTGAGAGGCTCAACACTGATAAGCCAGGCATCTCACCCTGCAGGAAAGCAGCATGCAGCTGGGATCCCAGCATGCACCAGGCACTTTTCTACATCACCTGTTGCGTGATGGTGCCTGTCCAAAGAGGCCCCTAGGTTGAGGACCCCGGTAAAACCACTCTTTAGAGGAGGCTGGGACAGTCCAAGCTCTGGAAAAGCCCTATCAAAAGCCCTGGTTCAGGAGGAATTTGATGCATTCAAGCAACTCAGCCAGAGCAGGGAGGCAGGAAGCGTCCGATTCCAGCTTTAGGACAGTTTTTCAGGCCACAACTCCATTCCTTCTGGAGGCTGTGAGGTCTTTGGGATGTGTGAAGGAGGGCATGCAGCAGAGAGGCTACAGGCTGGACTCTGCCCAGAGCCTGCCTAGACTCAGCCCTCAGGAGAGCTGCAGATGCACAGGATGGCCTCCAGGGGGCAGCAGCAGGCCGTGCCTCCTGTGATGCTCATCCCCGCTCCTGGAAAGGCTGCCCACTCTCCGTGGCCTCTGAGAGTGAGTGGGCTCTTGTCATCCCCGGGGAAGGCCCTCTTTTACCTAGTCCTCATCTGGGGTGTTCCTGCAGTTACAGGTGCAGTGGTCGCCCAAGCCTGTGAGTTGTGTCCCTAGCCCCAGAAGGCCTTTCCCCTTCCATCTTGGCAGTCTAATGAGAGAAAGCCACTGTACCACCCTCCCTTAGCACTCGCAGGCCTGTGCTGTGCAGCCCCAGACCTGTTTTTCCCCCCCACCCCCTGGTGTTTCTCAGAGTTACAGTGGTTTCTGTCCTAACAAGTAAGGGGTCAGCCTCCTGCAAAGCACCTTGAATACTAGAAGCCAGAGCATGTCTGTCACAAGAGAGCCTGCCCAACCCTGGGCACACGCAGAGCAAGCCCATGATGGCGTACCTTGGGAGCCCAGGTTTACAGTGAAGAAGGGAATAAGGCTTTGTCCTGCCCAGCAGGACTGGCTGTGGCTCTTAGCCTATGTTCTTTCCCCTGACCCCTCAGCAGAGCAACCTCCCAACAATTCCACTAATTCCACTTCCCCAAAGTTCTCCAAGAAGGAGTTGGTGCCTGTCTCTAGGGTCTTCCTTCCCTCTGCTCTGGTAATACCCAGACTCTGGGACAGCCCAGTAGGACTATTGGTTTCAGGTCCTGCCTATCAGGACATCCCACCTGCCCACAGCCTACTTCTCTTAGCTGAAGAGGAGCTGTCTGCACGATTAGCTGTTGCTGTCTGTGAGTCTTGTGATCCCAAAGCTAAGCTAAACCCATCTTAGCTGGAATCAGGGGCCTCCTGAGGCCAGGCCCTTAGAAGTGGTTCTGGGGTATATGTTCAGATCTGAGTCCCTCTCCATGTCCCTACCTATGGTCCCCAAGCCCTTTTTTATTATGGTAACTTGTCAAACTTTCTGGAGATGGACAGGTGTCACAGCTGACACCCATCAGAGGGACAGCCAGAGAAAACAAACAGCTGGTCTGTGAGTTAGAGAAGAGGGCTGAGCAGCCTAGAAAAGCAGGAACTCTGGAGCCAGGACCTTCAGCCTAGTCACCTTAGCCCCAAGGGTCTCAGCATCTCTGTCGACTACACACTGGTGGGGCTGGTATCCCCAAAGGACATGATGGGCCTGTGTGGGCTGTTTCTGGAAGTGTAGAACGTGCTTCCAGGCTGCTACGGATGGGAAGACATGCCCAGGGCCTGGCTACAGCTGTATCTATTCTTCAGGCTGACATCCGCTCTCGAGAGTACATCCGGAGGACTCTAGGACACACTGGGGGGTCTCCTGCACAGAGAAAGGACAGGTGAGTATGGGAAGGATACCCTCCATGGGCTGTGTGTGAGCCCATCATGTCCTTGATGCAGGATTGTAGCTTAGGGCACAGTGTGAGGCTGGGTCTGGTAGGGAACACAGGGAGGGAATCCCTCAGAGGAGAGTAGACTTCAAACCTAGTAGGAACTCTCAAGAAACCCCACTCCTGCCGGGCGGTGGTGGCGCACGCCTTTAATCCCAGCACTTAGGAGGCAGAGACAGGCAGATTTCTGAGTTCAAGGCCAGCCTGGTCTACCAAGTGAGTTCCAGGACAGCCAGGGCTACACAGAGAAACCTTGTCTCAAAAAAAAAAAAAAGAAAGAAAAAGAAACCCCACTCCTATGGCTCAGCTGGCCCAAGGCCCACCTCCAAACATGGTTGCTATCCTAGTTAGGGTTTCTATTGCTGTGAGGAAACACCATGACCAAAAGCAAGTTGGATAGAAAAGGGTTTGTCTTAAACTTGTATGTCACTGTTCATCACTGGAGGGAATCAGGACAGGAATTCAAGCAGCACAGGAACCTGGAGGCAGGAGCTGATGCAGAGGCCATGGAGGGGTGCTGCTTACTCATTTGCTCTCCCATGACTTGCTCAGCCTGCTTTCTTATAGAACACTGAACCACCAGCCCAGGGATGGCCCCACCCACAGTGTGCTGGACCCTCCCCCACCAATCACTAATTAAGCAAACGCTCTGCGGGCTTGCCCACAGCCTGACCTTATGGATGCGTTTTCTCAGCCGAGGTTCTCTCCTGTCAAATGACTTTCGCTTGTGCCAAGCTGACATAAAACCACCCAGTACAGCTGCCTCGCCTTTTCTGGTCCACTTCATCTGTCCAGAGTTCCAGACCAGGTCTCCCCAGAAAGGGCATGACCTTTTGGAGTCAGGCGTGGTTCTGTGGTTTACCACATTTCCTCACATGCCTGTCTCCCCATCACAGGAGTTCTGTCCTCCAAGCTCTGAGGTAGAGGGAGTCTGTTGTCAGTCGGCACAGTCTCAGCTAGGAACACAGGGCTGGCATGAACTCTTTACACAAAGTGGTCTTAATAGAACAGGCCTTATGGAAATCTTGCCAAGAAACAGGTACTGTGGTCCCATCTCCTAGATGAGGAAGCTGAGGCACAGGGCATCAGCAACAGAACATGGTACCTATGGCAGCTTCAGTTTAGATCCCTGCCTGTGGAGGTGTGCCTCAGCACCCAGGTAAAGACACAGGCCCTGTCTTCCTTGGTGTGTGAGTAGTTAAGGGATGTGCCTCTCGTGCTCCTTCCCCTGAGCTGCGGGTAGTCCTGGCCCCCTGCCCTGCTTCACAGTTGAGCTTGGCCAGCCTGAGGGTAGAGTATACCTGTTCAGTTGAGGACTGTCTGCCTGTCCCTCTATGCTGGGCCCTTCATCAGGCCTTCCTGAGACTCCTGGAGAACAAGGGGACTTCTGACACCCAGGCTTCTTATGTTGCCTGTTTCTTGATGTCATTACCAGGAGCCAGAAGGAGCAGAGGCCAAATGCATGCCCCACAGGAGGCCCAGGAGCACCTGCAGATCAAGGAAGGCCTCCCGAATGCTATGGCAGAGGCTCCAGCACAGACCTGAAAGACCCTGAGCCAGGCTTCCAGGAGCAGAAGGACCAGCAGATGGAAGGAATGGGGCATCATGAAGACTCAGACCTCTGGCCTCCTTCTCCAGCCTCAGTCCAGCCACCACCCTGAGAAGATCTCTAAGAGCAGTGGGAACCTCACCCACAGCCACAGGGAGAGTACCATGACCCAGAGGCAACAGTGGCTGAAACTCCAGAAGGATGCAGCAGGCTTAGTCCAGCTTGGGCCAGTGGCTGCCAGCCTCCTCCGTCACTGTCTAGTCAGTGTGGTCACCATGCCCCAGCAGGACCACATTCCAGACCAGGAAGCACACACAAGCACCAAGAGTACATGAAGGACTTCAGGCCTCGGGTGCCCAGAGGCCCTGCAGTTGGCAGCCTGTGCCAGCACCTGCAGCTCTGCCCTTCCCCTCTGCCGAATACAGACCTGGTTCTGGCTTCACGGCTTTATCCTCGTGGGTCACTCTTACTTGACCATGCCAGCCACAGTAGACTGTCATTGGTGGGTATATTCAGGCTGCAGCCCCCAAGGTGCCTATCCATAAGCCTGCCTGCTGCTGAGCATGAGGGACCTGCAGTGGGAAAGCCTCAATCCTGGAGCAGGCTCAAGAGTAGGCGTTGGGGAGTCAGCTGCACAGAGGGTGCCAGATGGGAAGCCGGCTGAGGCCCATGGTGAGAAAGCCCCAGGCTCGGCTCCTCACTCCTCTTCCTGCCACCCTCTCACCAGAGAGAGCGTCAGAATCCCCTCCCACTGAGAAGGCGGGTCTGCTCTAGACCGGTGGCTTCTTGTCTAGGTGGCCTTGAAGGTGTTGCTGAGGCAGGCCAGCAGCATGGCTGCAGTACCCTGTCGACCCACCCACATTCTAGGTTCACTAGAGTGGCAGCTGAGCTGGGGCACAGAGATGGCATGCCTGTGACACATCTCCTGCCTGCACCCTAGTCCCCCCCCCCAGACTCCCTGGAGGAGAGGTGACAGATGGTGGGTGAAGCTAGCTGCCAAATCCTGTGGCTACCCATGGGGCGTGGTCAGGATGGGCTGAGGGTCAGTGATAGAGGAAGGGCAGAGGGGTGGCTCTGCTAGGATACCCAGGACCATTTACACTCAGCAGGACTGCCAAGTCCCCCTCCTAAGTCGTTGGTAGTGACTGTCAAGACCCCTTGGGGTAGGTCTGCCGCTGCAGCTCATTCCCACTCCCTGGGGTTTCAAGTTTCAGATATAAGGAAGATACATATGTGGTTCTGTCACCCAGTAAACGAGGTGTGGGGCAGAAGGAGGCAACCTCCTCACCACACACCTGGTGTGGAGGCCAGCCTCCATGGACAAGAGCCCCAAGGCTACCCAGGGTGTCTGATCAGAAAGGCAATCCTTGTGGTGTTCACATCCACACACTGGCCCTTCCTGGTCCCTCACAAACATTCTGCACACACACACATACACGCACGCATACACGCATGCTTCATGTTCCCTGGCATTCCAGTGGAAGCCAGAGCTGGAGGGCCTGCAGCTGGCCCCACCATCTGCCTCCCTAACTTCCAGATTCCTCCTTCTCAAGCCCTGTCAAGACAGAGTTGTGGAGCGGGATTTGGGGGCGGGGGAAGCAAAAGACTGAAGCTCAACCACAGTGGCTAGAACCCTCATGCAAAGCTTAGGTGTCAGATGGGGAGTAAGGCCTGTCCAGCCTCCCTCGCAGCCAGGTTCCACAAGGAGAGGTAGCTGAGGGCTTTGCACCGGGCCAGCACCCAGCATCTTTGCGTGAAGGAACACTGTTTAGAGAAGTAGGGCCCCAGAGGCCAAGGCTGTCAGTCCTTAAAGCCACCCTCACAGATGTGGAGGAAAACAGCTCAGGCCTCACCTGAGCAGGCAGCTCCTCCCACTCTTGTGAGCCACCAGAGTCTGGCTAGGGACCCAGCCTGATCGCCCTGTCTCATCTGTTCATCTCTTAATAGGAGACCTTCCCCAGGCCCAGGACACACAGAAGTCAGACCTTATACCACTCAGCTTGGCACCTTCCAACACTCAGACTTCTCAACATGAACAGAGTGACCACCCCCCCACCCCCCACCCCAGACTAGCTCTCCAGGCGGCCAGTACAGCCAGGAGCTGCAAGGACTACCCATTTCCCCACATGCTGAGGCGCAGGCCAGAGCCTGAAAGTGGCCTTTTTTCTTTTCTTTTTTTTTTTTAAGACACACCAGAAGAGGGCATCAGATCCCATTACAGATGGTTGTGAGCCACCATGTGGTTGCTGGGAATTGAACTCAGGACCTCTAGAAGAACAGTCAGTGCTCTTAACCGCTGAGCCATCTCTCCAGCCCAAAAGTGGTCTTGCAGACAACTTTTATGTGATTTGTTCTGAAAGAAAATCCTCTCAGTCATTAAAATACAACTTGTTTTTGTGAAGTGGAGCGTCTGGGGAGCCCAAGACCAGAGAATCGCTGGGCCTGGCTGGGTTCAAGCATTTCCATTGTCCCAAAGACAGCCCTATACTGTTAGCTTCTAGTAATAGAAGCCCTTCCCCACAAAACCCTGTCGGCCCAGCTGCCCCGCCGTGTGTGTCTGGTTTGCCTGTTTGCAGACTCCTCCAGTGGGCACCATGTATCACCACTTCACTCTGTTTCCTGTATTTGGTTTGTCCAGTCCTGACCTCCCACGTGTGTGTCCTACAGAGCCTGTAACCAGCCTGTTTCCAGGTCTCACAGGTGTATGCCTAAGACACCCTGTAGTGCACCTGTGCCTACCTCTATAGCTGCTTCCCATGGGAGCAGCCCCTCCCACAACCCTGTCACCACCCCAAAGGCAAGTCCCCACCTTCCAGCACTTGTTGCCGTGTCTTTGGAGTTGGCCAGCAGTGAAGGGACCTGATGGGAGTTGGCCTGCCTTCTAGTGTTGAATGGAGTCAGCACCCCTGTCCACCGGCCGTTTGTCTGCACTGGGATAAACTCTTCACATCATTTGTCTGTTGCCTGTGTTGGGGAGTGTGTGGAATTGGGTCATTTATAGTCGAGATTCAAGTTCTTCTGGATTTTAGAAGTTACTCTTAAATTTAATGCATTACTATTTTTTTTTCTACCCCTGAGATCACTAGAAATAGCCCTACTTTGAGTCCTGCCTTTGGCAACCCCCATGTCTTGCCTTGGCCAGCCATGGTCCATGTGTAGTGGTTTCCATGGTGGCCTCCTGGAATGACCTGGAGCAGTGGGAGCACAGGCTCCCTGCAGGTGACCCACACGCATCCCCAAATTTAGAGGAACAGGCTTCTACCTACCACATCTGCTTCGCAGCCTTCCCTGCCTGTCCCCAGGCCATGGCCCTTCCAGACACTACCAGGAGGGCGCAGAGCTCTAGGATGGCCTTCAGATGGAGCAGAAGTGTGGGGGCATGCAGTTATCAGGTTGAGGTTTGGAGTTGCTCTGTGCCTCAAACATGCTAAAGTTTAGTGCATGGGGATCCGGCAGGACCTCTGCGTGCTTGGGGTACAGGCCAGTGTTGTGATACCCGCCACATCAGTGATGATGCTATGAGACCCCAACCCTCCAACCCCCAATTCCAGGTGACGAGCCGTGGCAGCACAGATTTTTACCAGGCTAAGCTGGTGCAGGGGGCTGGGGTAGTAGGGTGCAAGGGCCAGGGGGATGCGAACTGAAGGAGCAGGGTGGATAGGACATGGAAAGTGGGCAAGTCTGGGGTGGGGCGGCCAGACACCAGCGCTTCAGGGCAGGGGGCCCTAAGTGCAGCAGCGTCTCGGCTCCTTCCCGCAGAACCTTAAAAATAGGGCTCAGTGATGTCCATCTGAGCAGACCACAGATCTCTAGAGCTAAGGATATTCTTGAACCTCTTAATAATTCAAGTCAGATCCAAATAGTTCTTCATATTCATCTGCAGTTTCTGTGCCCCTTCCCAGCATCCCCACCCGTGTCCGGCAGCTGGGAGAAGGTGGCTTCCGGCGGGGGGGGAGGCAGCCTAAACCAGCCGCTGTGTCACTGGGGGGTTGGGGGGGGTAACCTAAACCAGCCGCTGTGTCACTCGGGACCCTAGACATCCCCCATTTCCTCATCATGGCTCCTACATACCAGGCAGGTCAGGCTGGGGAACCTTGACCCTTCAACACCTCATTGGAGCCACTTGGGGTGCCCACCTACTCCTTAGACCCCAATGGCTCCTACCTTGTCCCACAGGAGCATTGTCCTGCCTCCTCAGAAGAGTCCTCGAAGGGCTAGGTCTGGGGCGTGACCCGGGGATTGCATCTGTACAAGGCTCCAGCCCAAGGTTCTTGAATGCCGAGTGTGCCTGGCCAAGTCACTCTGCCTCTGGGTGCCTTTTTCCTTAATAGTGAGATGGTGGGCATAGTGTCTCTAGAATCAGCAGACTATCAGCCTGGACCATGTTCCTCTCTAGAGACAGTGCCAGGGTGCGTGAACACACCCCCAACCTACTTGTCAGCCAGAGATCTGGTTTCAAAGGTGAGGAGTAAGCGTCCCATAATAAGGCAGAGGCTCACCCACCCGGCCCACTCACCCCAAAGGCAGCCCAACCCTACTGCACCACCCTGACCAGGTCCAGCAAGGAGTTTTACCAAATTATTAATTAAAAGCAGAGGCACAGAGTAGAGGCACCACTGACTTGCAGATGAATGGCCTAAGAGGTAGTCAGGTGGGCGTCTCCAAGGTGATGGAGTAGGACTCTGGTTCCCATTCCCCACACAGAGCAGGCGCCCGCTGCACCGGGTCATTAAGGGCTCCTGGGAAACGGGAAGACAAAGTACAGGAGCAGGAACTCCAGGCAGGGGCACCTGGATCAGGTCCTGATGGAGAGAATGTCGTCTGACTTGGGTTGGGGTTTTGTCTTGTCTTGTTTCGAACAAGATACCACAGCTGAAGTTGGATGACCTTGAGCCTCTGGTCTCCCTGCTCCCACCTCCTAGCAGTGGGGCTGCAGGTCTGCGCCACCACACTGGTGCTGGGGAGCAAACCCAGGGCTCTGTGCTTTCCGGACAAACACCACCAAGTGAATGACATACCAGCTCTGGTTTCGTTTTTCCTCCTTTAAATCTCACTCATGGTGGTTTTCCAGTCAACGCCGCAAGCCGGCATTGTTTGGGAGTCAAAAGCTGAGGCTTGTAGTGAGAAGTTTGTACCTCCTTGGCTGATTCCCTCTTACAGGCAAACTGTTATTTGAACATATGGTTATTTGCTTCATTCTTTAACAAGCATTTTTATGGGTGGGGTGTGTGTGTGTGTGTGTGTGTGTGTGTGTGTGTGTGTAGTAGGCGCATGTAACTGTAGTACCTGAGGAGCAAGACAAGGACGTCGCACTGGAATTACAGACTGTTGTGAGCCATGCACGCTGTGAGCCAGACTTAAGTGCTGGGAACCGAACTCTGCAAGAGTAGCAAGTACTTGAAGGCTCTTCCCTGAGGAACCACCTCTCCAGCCGCCCAGGTATTTACCTC